ATTATGAGTAACATAAATTATATTAATAAAAGTTGCCCAACATAATAATCCATTCTTGAATATATTTTTATATATAGTCTTTTCTTGTAATATGTCTCAAAGTTCTAGTTCTACTATACCTATAAACCCTCATTGCCATCAAGGTCAGTTCAAGATGATCAAGATAATCAATTATATCAACATATAACAATAACAACCATATTCCATTATGATAGTAATTCTATTTTATGCAATTATAACTTATTTGATATATTTCTAACTAATTCAAATATAACGCAAAACGCCTTAATTTGGAAGCAAAATAAGGAATAAATATTAATGATTTTGTAAAGAGCAACAAAGTAACAAGTATGATAATAAAAGTGAGTCCAATTCGCTCAATAATCTCTTCACCACTAAGGATCCACCTTTGTCACACAAAAAATAATTTTTTCTTAAATTTGAAAATTTAGTTAAACGTATAACTATAAAAAAACAAAAATTTATTAAACTTGTAGCGGTATAAAACGGTATCTCTTTTCGCAATGCATTTTCTGTGCAATTTATTTGGATTATAACTAATTTGATTTAATATTGAAAATACTATCACATATCGCAGATAAATTTAAATCCTGTTCTGTTAGAGAATCAGAAACGGCTCCAACTAATTCATTATTATCACGGAATTTTCCCACCCTCATACGGGTGAGGATATTAAAGAAATAATAGTAACAATACTCGCTAAATATAAAATATTGTAAAAATATCCCCCATTACCTAAGATAATGGTTCAAATATAGTTTGGGCGGAGAAACTAATTATTCCTCTAATGCGTGAGACATATAACACAAATTTTAACATTATACGATATCTTCTGGCTCATATTATAAATCTAATCGTACAATAAGGACTATCAACTATCTCAACAGAATTGGAAAAAGTTAAGTTGTTGGTGGAAAAAGTTCATAAAAGTCCTTCTTTGGTGCAGGACTTTGTCAATATTTGCAATTGTAAAATTCCGCTTGATGGAATTCAAAATATCTTATGCTCAACAAAATCAATAAGGTATTAATAGCATATTATATTTAATTTTTTAATGTTTGATTCTATAGAATATAGAAGCTATTATAAAATTGGGCAAACGGTCTATTAATGACAATTTTTACATTAATACCGAAGAGGTCAAATTGTTAAAAGATATTGAAGAATTTTTGTACCCATTTTATAAAATTAAATGTGAAATTATTGCTAATTCCTTAATTATAGGCATGTATTTATTATATCTTGATACAATGAAAACATTGTTGGTAATTGAAACCAACAATAATAATGTAATTATTGAGGCAGCACGAATTATGTTGGTAAAATGCCAAAAATATATAAATATTATGGACAATTCCGAAATATATTAATGTATTTTAGATCCACGGATCAAGAAAACTTTATCGATGAATAAAGTATCTTACTATGAAAAGTTGATCGTTTTATATATTTTATTATTATCTACAACTATCTTAAATGTTCTCATAAAATAGATATATTTAATTTTAAAAAAAAATTTATTATATATTTTTAGGAAAGCATCGTTAGTTCCGATGGTTGAGATCGCGGCCTAGCTGATCTAGTCATCTCAGCACGATATAATGTTGGATTGGTAAAGAAGTAATCCCGTGCATTTTCCCTAGCCTTCCATAATGGATAAAGATTTTCTACGCAACAGAGAGCATCTGTTGCAAGCGAGCGTGTCTTCTCGAGAGGGATGGACACCATTAGAAAAATAGAAATCGCATGGTCTCAGGAACGCTTGAACAATGTTTTTGTTTAAATCATGGAATACGATTATCATGAACAATCAATATTGGACATAATTTTTATATGTATATATATTGTTAAATACAAATATTTATATAAATAAATATCATATATAATTTTAATAATAATATTTAAAATATAAATGTATCAAAGATTTTAGATGTTTTGAACATAGTATGGGTTCTTATTTACAATTGTTGTTTTAAATGAATACTGGAGAGCATTTGTGTTTTAAAAATATTTGACTTTAAATTTGTAACTAAAATAGTTTTATATACTATGATTAATCTGTAAATAAAATTGAGTTTTGGACACTTTAGAAAAATTTTATAATAAAAAAACTCTTTATAACTAAAAAAAAAGAAATCTTTCCTCGATTTTTTCTTTTAAAATAAATTTATTTAAGTTCTACTTAAAATTGATACTGTGATTAACCCTGAGCCAGTGTTGTTAAAGTAGCGCATTAATTCCCTATAGTGTTGTTAAACGGCTTGAGTCGATTTTTAAAACGGTAAACTCAATATTTTATCCAGAAGAATATTATGCGAGCCATTTTTCTCTTAGATGGTACTAAGGTATAGATATCTATTATCGTAACCTGTGGCTTAGGCATTATTTTTCTGACTAAATTATTGACTTGACCGTTTTTAAAAATCGGCTTAAAACGGGCCATGCTACATTCAATTTTATAATAAGTACACATGTAAGATATATTTATAATTAATTCCAAAATCATAATCTTTTAAATTAATATTTAGAAATCTACATAATCTAGTTTTCAAAATAATTTAAAATGTCTACGATAGAGATTGATATTGAAGATAAATTTGGTGCAGATAATATATACAAAGTTATTTCCTTGTAAAATGATATGTAATTTCCTTCTCCTGATTACGCATAAATTTTAATCTCGATAAAAAAAAAGGTATAAATATCATTAGGTTTTAGCATCAAATATAACTAGAAGCTTCAACGATGAAACATTTAAATTTTAATATTAATGTAGCCCAATATTTAATCTTTAAAATAAGATGTGAATCAAAGCGGTATGTGGAATAGTTTTTGAGCTAGATTAGTTTATGTGAAAGTTGATTTTCTGGCCCCGATAGTATTTAGGAATTATATTATAAATTACAATAAATAAATTAACATCTCATTTTATCATCACACTCCGATTTTGAACAAGTATTTATATGAGAATGATGGCCCTCATGAAGATTCATGAGGGAAACTAAACTAATTGTATTTTTCTAGGGTTCATCTACACTGAAATTTTAATATAATATGTTTACAATATAGATTTATGACCATTGTCACTTTTCTTTGGCACATTTTCATTATTATTTTAAAAAAATTATTAACATGGCCATTACATTATGGTTCTTTATTACTGAAATATTGATTTAACATGTTTATAATATGTATTTTTATCTATTTGCTTCAAATAAATTTAAAAAAGTAGGGGAGACCGGGGACATTTTGTCCATAAAAAATAGACAGAGCAATTTTTCCAAAATGTTTTAACGTAATTTTATTCTTTATATCTCTACGGTAGAAATTAATATTTAAGAAAAAAATCATTTGGTTTTTAATTAATGCGAAATTTAAAAAAATGAAAATCTAAGTTTTATGAAAAATACCCGGGGTACCTATTATCCTTTCACGTTACGTGTCGTCATACTTAGCGCTTTTTTATTTGTATATTTTTAAAAATTTTTTATATAAAAGTATCGATTCTAAGTAAATAAATAAAAATAAATTGTCAAATATGTTAAATTTATTAGGGTTCATCTATATTACATATATCACCAGGAAGTACTTGCTGCCACTTAAATCGTCATATAATAAAAAAAATAAGTCAATCATCCTCAAATTGTCATTAGTGGTTTTAGACAAACTATTAAATGTTTTTATAAATTTAGTTGGATTTTTTTTATTCAAAATAATCCCTGCTTAAAAATGGCTAATACGTACCCCGCCAAAACCTGCCCCAGGTCTTCACAATTAATTCAAATTTAATTTTTAAGATATTAAATTACCATAAATTGTGTCAATATTTTTATATATGATAGAATACATATTTTTTTATCATATAGAATTAATATTAAGTCTTAACAACGTTTATAAAAAAAGAGCTATTAGTGAAAATGTAAAATTTTAAAAAGTTACTTCTGGTATGTTAATAATTAAATTTGCATTTAATATTTTTCATGAGCAATTTTGTCCGAAACTTTGGTCCTACTTAAGCACCTTATTAAAATACATATTTGGCTTAAATTTCAAAACTTAAACTTTATTAATTTTTAAATTATTCAAGAAGGAAATACCTACCCCGGGAACACACTATCCCCGGTCTGCCCTACAATAATAATGATTATGACAATTGTCATTTTTCTATGGAACATCTTCACTGAAATTTTTATTTAAAATGTTTATATTATATATTTTTACTTATTTGCTTTAACAAAAACAACGATTAAGACAATTGTCACATTTCTATGGTACATCTTCACTGGAATTTTAATTTAACTTGTTTACAATATAAATTTTTACCTATTTGCTTAAAAAAAAGTTCAAAAATAACGGTATGACAATTGTCACTTTTCTATGGTACATCTTCACTGGACTATTAATTTAACATGTTTTACAATATAAATTTTTATCTATTTGTTTTAAAAAAATTCAAAAAAGTTTAAAAATAACGATTATGACAATTGCCGTCGGGTCGAATAAAACGACCACAGCTTTGGGCTGAAGTCTTAAAAAACGACCTGATTGTGAGTCTGAGTTGAAAAAACTACCCAAACTTTGAGTCGGAGTTGAAAAAACGACCCATATTTTGGGTCAAAATTATTTTTTTCGGCTTGAACTCGGGTCGAGGTCTAAAAAACGACCCAAACTTTGAGTCGGACTCGAAAAAAATGACCCGAACTTTGGGTTGAACTCGCGGCTCTTTAACAACACTGTCCTAGGTCGACTTATATTAAATAATCGACTATTTAGTATCCACCAAAGAAAAAATTTAAAATGAAAACAAAAAAAAACGAGAATAAAATGTGAAAAATAACAATGCCACAAAATATTTAATAACAAATAGTGGGTCCTAGCTCAAAAGCTTTTAGAGGGTTTCGTTATTCGGGCCTTTTGAGAGCTGAATTAAGGATATATTCAACTACTAAAACCTTTTTTAAAATGTTGGCTATCACTTAATGGGTTATGAATACAAATAAGATAGGCATGAAGCCCGGGCCGGATTGCCTAAAATGATATTTAAAAATCCTGGTTGGGCCAAGTTTAAAAATATAATAATTATAACCTTTTCCCGCTGTCAGCCTTTTAATTTCAGATCCCGGAGAAATCTTTTAATATTTTAACTAGTAAAGTATCTTTTTGCTTGAAATTCATCACTTAAGTTTCAAATGATGCACTTCAAGTATGTTTTACTTTAAAGGGGTAAAATGCATACATTGATAAGATTTCTCGGCTTTTCCGCCTCTTCTAAGCCTCTTAAATTTTTTATTTTTACCTGAAAAAAAGTTAATAAACCATGGGGTTATTAAACTGTATTTTGCATATTTCTTTGTAAATTCAGATAATTATATATTGATTAATCTATCAAAGAATAATCATTTTTGTTAAAATAGGTTTACTAATCACCATATTATTTTTTTTAATTAGTTCCTTTTTAATAAAAGAATAATTTATAATTCAATTAAAATATTTTTTATAAAAAGTTTCTGATACCTCGTCGAACATCGATCAAAAAATTAGATCTAGTCCCACTATCATCGTTTTTGATACCGAAAATTATGAATGCGATTTGTTTCCCGATCAGGAACAAAATAGCTCTACCAATAACGAAACCATATCTTGTTCTCCTCCGAGGAAGAAAATAGGAATCGAATCAAGTTGCGATATATCGAGAACGTTAGCTTTGACTGATACAAGACTTCGAAAATCATGTCCAGTCTTGGAAAATTTTAATAGTAACGTCAAAATTTATTTTTTAGATTTTATACATTATATATAGAATATATATGCTTATTTCAAAATAAAAAATATATCTAATAACTTTTTAAAAATTTTGACAATAAGGATTTGGAACCCTCTCTTAGAATTTATGAGAATCAGTACTAATTTTAAGATCTTACTGAGACAGAATTAGTTTCTAACAAAAAAACGCGGCTTTGTTCAAAATACTGCGTGATTTATTTTAGAGAAGATTTATGAAGAGTTTTTATTCCTCGGAACCACGTCAAATAATAACCCGTCTCCTTATTTTTAGGAATACGAAACCTTTTTTAGTCCAAGTTTTAAACTCTGATAATATTATGACGTCAAAATATTTCTTAAAATATTTAGGCCCGTCTGGCATACCAAAAAGTTTCCACATACAAGAGCTTCATGACGAAACATCGCAAACAAAAGTTATCCTGTTTATTATTTTAAAAAAATCTGTTTCATTCCTATTTGAGATGGTTTTGGAAATTTTTGATCAAAGGTATTATTGTTTGTTAGCCATAATTACCATTGGCTATATTTTATTTATCTATCTGTCATATGATTGGTTAAATTTTATTTATTTATTGTATTTTTTTGTTGAAAGTTATTTTTATTATAGAAAATAATTTCGTCATTTATTGTAAAAGGATAAATGAAAATGAGATGGACAGGATAAATAAATAAAGGGAAGATAAAATTGGGTAAAAAAAACTTTATGGATTATAAAGAAGCTGTTCAGATTTGAAATTTAGATACCTTTGATTCATTCTCAATGGGCACTTATATCATTACTTATTATAAGCTTTATTTCTAATTACATATTATCGGAGCATACAATTAAATACTTGACTCTTTATTTAGAATATTTATTTTTCAAATTTATAATATAAAAATGTTTAACTAAATGTATATTCTATATATTTATAATAAGAAATGCTCAAATAAAATCTTTCTAAAACATTTTTAAAAGATATTGAAAAGATTTGTATTTTCTCTCTTTAAATAAATATATGTTTCAATGTAATCCTTTATAAACTAAGACCTTCCAAATTTAACATATTTAGTATTGAGGTCGCCCCAAAGACGCTCTATAGCTGGGTATTTATGCTTTTATTTACCGGGTCACAAAAAAAGATATTATTTTTAAATAAATATTTTAAACATTTAAATTTATAAACAATTTTAAAAATTCATTTAAAAAAAAATATATGAACAACTAATGGTTTTCGATAATAAAAATATCATTCAACAATAAAAAAAATAAAATTTAACCGATCATATGACAGATAAATAAATAAAAGATAGCCAATGGTAATTATGGTACACAAACCATAATCTCACCAAAAAAAATTCTCGAAACTCACAAATAATCGGAAAAACACCGTTTTTTCTAAAAAGGAAAATTTGAATTTTAAATTACAACTTTTTTTTGAATGAAAAAGTAAGCATTTAGGGACACTTATTACTACTTGCAGCAAATTTATAAAATTAATTGACAGTTTAAAATATCGCGATTAAGTTGGATGTGAGTTCCTCTTTGTTAGTGGGGCTGGTTGGAAGTTAAAAAAATAAACTCATATGTTCACGCACCCATGAGTTATATGAAAAATCTCCGAATTCTTTTGAATACCTGGAAATACAAATTATATGAACAAACAAGAAAAAATAAAAATAAGAACGAAAATAAGTGGAGAAAATATTTACATTTTTTAGAAACATAATAATGAAATGTTTTTTCAGTGCCCAAACAAAGCCCACTTAACAGATGACCCATTGTTGCAAGCCGACGACGAACTCACCAAACAAAGCACTGTCACTCGCGATTTTCGATCTTCTTGCACTATTTCCAATTCTTGGAACAACCCCGACCCTTATTATAGTCAAATCGGGATTAGCGGGAATTCAAATAACTGCAACTTAGCACTTTTAACGGATTTTATGGGGCTTAAAGGTTCTTAAATAATAGTCATTATCGCACCAATTTTTGAAGACTTACCTGGTTCAATATAAAAAATTTAGTCTTAAAAAAACTTTATTCATATATTTCCTCGGAGGTTTGCTGTAATGGCCACCCGAAGGATAAATATACTAATATTATTTAAACCTTTATATTCAGGGCCATTTATCCCTGACCTAAACTTTAAAGAAGTTGCGAAACATTCCCCTACAAAATTATTAGTTTCACTCCAAACTTCATTGATAAAGTTTTAAAATCAAATGATATTAAAACAAGGATAGGACCTTATCAAATATTTAATTAAATCTAATAAAGAAACGAAGCTCGAATATATAAACAAGTTGCCAGAATTATTTACCCTGCAATTCTAGTTTACATAATCATTGTATCACCCACAAAACATAATATTGAAATTATTGCCTAAATAAATCTTTATTAATTAGTCATTCTGAGTATAATTTTACTATACCCTTTTTATATTGAAATATTTTGCATAAATTAAATACTATTATAATAAATTCACCTAAAAAATATATATGATAAAGTTGAATAATTTGAAAACAATTTAATGTTATAAAATTTATGAGTTGGGCAAAAATAAGATATATTATATATTGTCAGATATAAAATGTTAAATTCATTCTTATCTTATTCCTTATTTAAATAATTAACACTTATTAATAATAGTGAAGGTCACGGTCAGGTTTTTAGTCCATAAAGGACCAGACCACGGTCTTTAAAATGTCGATCCAGATCATGGTTTTAAATAAAAAGACCAGTCCAAGACCGACTTTTTTTTTATTTTAAAAATAATTTTGTTTTTACCTAATTTATTTCCAGCTTATTGGGACTAGTATTGTTAAAAGGCTTGATTCGAACCGATTTTTAAAAGCGGCTAACTCAATATTTTATCCAGAAAAATATTACGCAAATCTGAAGATTTTGTTCTTAGATGGTACTTTGGTCATCTTTTAGCAAAATCTCGAAGTTTAGGCAATATTGTTCTGGTTAAACTATTGAGTTAACCGTTTTAAAAAATTTGCTCAAACCAAGCCGTTTAACAACATTAATTGGGACTATAGGTAAAATGCTTCTATGACAAACCTATGGGTTTCATATTGCAAAATAAAAATGAACTAAAAATTCACAAAAACTAAAATAACGTAAAATCTACAAAAAAAATTGGGTAAAAAATTGTATTTTGAATAGTTAAGAAAATTTAAATATTAATAAGAGAGTGGTCCGGACTGTAAAAAATAGAAAGACTCACTGTGGTTCTCAAAAAAATTGGTCTGCCGATCGGTCCCGGTCTAAGACCGATGCGACCGGGCTGACTTTCACTAATTACTATGTTAAAATAAGCAAAATTTTTTTTAATAGTAATATAGTTAGTAGTTTATATATAAAAGTTATAATATTAATTGATTTTTATATTTTATTTATTTATTTTAAGGTAATACATCTTGACAATTATTATGATTAATTGAACTTAATGATCATTTAAATAAAATAACAATTGTTGGAATCGCATTTTAAATCAAATGAATTTATATTCCCACACCCTTATATTTTCTTTTTGAGTTGATGTCCTTTTCCCAAGTTTACCTAGGTTAGGCCAGTGCCTCTCTTATCCCCTTTTTCAAGTTTCCACCATTCTGTGATATCTATTCCTTTTATTTCTACTTCTTTCGTCCAACACATCTGAGTTATATTTATTTAAATAATTTTTTTTAGAGAGTTATGCAGAAATCATTTTTTTTACTCACGTACTATTTTAAATTTATAGATAAAATTGTCTGTCCCTCTATAAAAGAACTGGACCAAGGAAGGTTATACTTTATTATAAATTTAATTATTTTATTCATTAATAATTATATAAATTTTTAAGAAAATTATTAACTTCCCATAATTCGAGAAATCATAGATAGGAAGAAAAAAAATAAGTATTCCTCTCAGTAATATATTATATGCAGAGTTTAAAAACAGTTCACGAGAAATCTATGAACCAGAACTTGGAACGCTCTTTTAAAATACATAGAAATCAGAATCAGAATACATTTTAAAATTTTAATTTATATATCATGTTGTTTAAATTCTGTGTCATTTATTTTTAGATAGTTTATTTATTGTTCAAATTTTTTCTAAATTGTATAAACCTAGTTTTGGTACTGGAACCTGAAACCCTATGAACTTGTCAAATTTAAGAATCTGAACCACTTTTCCAAAATTTTAAAACACGGATAACCAATTTAAAAATAAATAAATATTCAGAAATTTAGTCCAGGTTCTAAACACTTTATATGTATTATCTATATATTAGACTTGAAACGCAAGATATGGTTTCTTCGCAAATCAAAAATCCATTGCCCGAGGTTTATATTCAATTTTATTATGTATTAATTTATTTGACAGTTAAACATGTGTTCCAACCCATTTTTTGTATAATCGCTTGCAGCCGACTTTTCCATTGAATAATGGTTAATAGGATATTATCCTGTGATCGAAAGGCCACAAATCCTTAATTCCTTTATTGCAGCGGTTACAGAGACCTAAAGGGATCTGTAAACCCTTGTACGCCACCAACTGTTCAAGTTAGTTCCATACATAATAATCGAATGGATATAAATTATAAATATTCGGTGATCATTCTGAATATTTGCGGAATTTGAACAATTAATAAAAGTTTCCAATTTTTTGATTTTTTTTGTATAAGTCTTGACAATGTTCCATTTTTTTTTTAAACTTCCAAGAGAGTTTACAAAAAAGTAACCTTCATAATTATTTTAACATTACACGAAAATGCTTACATGTTTTGCCTTACTATTTATTAGATTCAGTTTCCTTGGATATTTTATTCAGTTTAGGCTTTTTTGCGCCTTTCGCTACAAGAATTTATGGAAATAAAATTCTATTATCGTTTAATAGCACTTTGAATGTCTCGAAAATCCCAATTCTTATTAGGAAATTTACTAATTAATTTATCACTATTCCAATTTCTTAATAATAAGTCTTATTTACAATAAGAACTTATTTGATAGCATCGGTATATTTATAAGACAAATTGGATGCATTTTATCCAAAAGAATTAGTGTTAAAACGGTATTTAGCTCCATTTTTTTATCGTTAAAGAATCAAACGATCTGTAAAATACTTATGATCTAGGGCATTCGTTTTTAGCAACGTTATAACAAGAGTCGTTTAAAAAAATGTCGTGAAAAATAAATGGTTTAACGGATTTAAAAAAATTATTGTATGTTATATATAACATACTATCTGCATGTACAATATTTTTTCAATTCAGTGGATTCATTCATTATACATTTTGATAAAAGGCAGACAATTTATATTGTAAGAATATTGGCCTTAACAATGCTATCAAAATATTATCTTATAATAATAAAAACTTATTAACAATAAAAATGTAAACCTCAACGTTTGAATTTTTGATAGACTACCATGTTTGATAAATGGCTAGGTTATAAGAAACTAGAATTTCTGTTTCTGGAGTTAATACTTTGGATTCAAAATATGTAGTCTCTCGTCAGAGGGTAGCGTTCGATTAGCGATAGCTATCCAATGAATACGGACTCTACTCATAATCCAAAAAAAATAGGTGTATTGGAAGGGGGGGGGGTCCTATTCAGTATCGATTTCTATAGAGTGATTTTTACATTTTTGACATATAAAATGGAAAGTATTTTTCTTATCAAAACAACCCGAACTAGTATTTCTATACATACTTAGAATATACGTTATTTTTCGGTTAACCTGTAATATATTATTGATTTTATATTTCAGATATAATGATAAATATGCATTAATAACTTTGTTGTATATTTTAGTCTAACAACGTTACTAGGAAAGGTAGAAAAAGGTGCGCGAAGGGCACTAAACCCAACAAACCTAGCCAAAAAGACCGTCGTTTATCTGCGAGGTTATAAAAACAAATGATTTTTAATAAATATCATTATAATAATAGGTAACCCATAGCATCACTATTTATTATATCAATAAAATTGTTACTTATGTAGTGTAAAAATTTCCCGTGGTTTGATCAAGAAATACAATCATCAAAATTATTCTATTAACGGCCAAAACAACCTGAGCCAATCGCATACTGGAGGTGAAAAATTATCTTCTCCGATTAATGAAAATGTCGATGATGGAAATTTAATATCTTCTGTTCTCTGTGAAAAACTTTACCCGCATCTAACATTGAACAATGACGATGATTCAAAAAAGAAAACTAAATGGGATAAAAGAAATCTTTCCAGATTATCAATGGGTAAAAGAAAGCTTAGGCCCCTCAAGGGCAAGCGGAATGTGTGTAACAAAGATGCTAAAATTGAGCAGGCGATTTATGAAAAGGTTAGCAGCCCATGTATTACAAATGATGGTCCAAAAAACGAAAATATTCGGGAAGTATTGAATGTAAGCACCAATTTAAAATTTCTTATGGATATTTTTACCCAACCACTACACATTTATTAAAAATTTTATCATTTTATATAATTTTAAAAGGAAATTGAAAATATGAGAAACAATATAAATTACCTTACATAAGATTTAATTTAAGTTTATTATTATAAAAAAAATCCGGCCTGACCATGGATTTGTAAAAAAAAAATATTTGTAAAGTTGCCCACTATTTAAAAAAATCATACCATATTGCGATTTAGGCTGGGCGCACAGGCTGAAATAATAAATGTCAAATAAATTAAATATTAATGAAAACTATTTAAAATAAATATTCTATTGACTTGCATGTACCCCAATTATACTCTAACATAATTCGTCTCTCCAAATGACATGACCCTAATCTAGTGTCTATACTATAGGTCCGCAATGGGCGGGTTTTTAGCCAAAAATCCCACCTATTCGTTGTTTTGAAATTTTTTAACTCGCTTCGTCACTTATTATTTATTTTTTAATTTACCCGCCCGCTCAATTATAAATTTTGTAAACCCGTTCGCGCGCCTAATGTTTAAAAATTATTTAGATGGCTGGTTTGGGTCTTTATTTATTTATTTAATTGTATTTTTAATTAAACATAAATATTATGAATAAAACTATTTTAATAAATTGAAGTCTGTGCTGCTCATTTCACTTGAAAAACATTAAAAATCCACCCTCCAATGTTGAAAATATTTCAGAATACCCGACCACGCCCGCCCGAAGTATGCTGAAAAGCGGGATATAAACCCATTCATTGCAGACCTCTGCCATACCATTTTATTGCATATGTATTTTACTTTCTATTTAGCCTTGCCCCCCTAAAATTGTTTTTAATAATTAATCACTTTATATAATTTATATACCCAAACTATAAATGCGTCACAGAGATATAATTTAGTAAGATTTTTATTATTTTCATAAAGTTCTATTCTCTTTTTAAAGCCAGATTTTTCCTTTCGATTTGCATGATTCAAATTAAGAGATATTTGAATCCTTAATGTCTAAACTCCATGGCTAATTTTTTTTTCAAATATTGCATATTAGAGTAAATCTTTTTATAATTTATTAATTTTTTCCCAAGTATCGTCTAATTTTTAAAAATAAAACAGACGCTTTTTTAATTTTAAAATACATTTTCAAGTATTGGAACAAAAAATATATTCATTAAAATTGGGTGACAAATAAATTAATATGGAGATGGACTCAACTGCATCTTGATATAATATTTTTTTATAGTATAATTTTATATTATTTAATAACTTTTAGATAAAATATTTAAGTTAATTAAAATGTTCTATACTAACAGACTAATTTGGACGCGATGATTATCTAGTAAAAACGCCATTAAAGATCTTATTAGTGTTCACTTTTTTACAGATCAAATCCGATATGTTAAATAAGAAATATTGTTTGGTTCCCAGGATAATATGTATAATTTGATTTTAGTTTATTATTTTATAAACAGTGGGAAGGCGGGGGGGGGGGGGGAGATACCAGGGAAAATAAGGGTAAAATGCTATGTTTTCATAAAACTTTTATAATGATATCTAGACGAAAAATTATCCCTCATTTTTTTAGATAGATAAAAACCTATTTAATTTTCAATAAAATCATCTCAAAAATTTCTTCTTATTTAAAAATGTGCTTTAAAAAATTTTAAAAATCTAATTTAATAAAATTTTCAAATTTAAAAAAAAATTGGCAGACACTTAATGATTCAATAATTATTTTATGATGGACTGACCTTTTCTATTTTCAAACGTAAGCGCTTGAGACAAAAATTATCCATTACAATCATTTTTAATTTAACCATAATCAATCCATCTTTTTGAGATACATATAATTAAACAATGTCTGTCGGTTTTTATTAAAATATTTACCTTTTATAAATCTCTAACTTGGTCGAATTTAGCACTCGAGTCGAGAGACATAAAAAATTGAAATTTTTGGCCCAACTGCTGAGGTCTACTCACCGTGGTCCGCGACCCGAAAAAAGACTTAAGGGATTAAAACGGGAAATATTTATTTTATTTTCCATTTTATTGTAAATGATAATAAATTATTCAGCAATCATTTTGATTATTTTAATAATTTTGAACTATTTATTTCTATTTATTACATAAAACATATGATATGAATGTAAAAGTCGAACAGGTTTGTGTTCATCTTAAAAATAAATAAATCTATATTAGATCATATCGAAAAATTCAAAAAAATCACCTAAAACCAATTTCGACGGCTCTATCAACGCACTCGGATCGATCGTAACTTTGAATAATTCGTCGTCAAATTCCGCAGAAGCTTTTATATCTCAAGCACTCCCTAGTACAACAATTAATATAAATAAATTTTATGAAATAGATTTTTTATTTATTTTTTTTCCCCGCAATATAAATACCTATTGATGTGGTAAAGGGTGTAAGCCAAACACGTCCTTAATCATTGTTTACTAAACGCGTTTTCAATTAAAACCTTTTTATCGACTTACGTTCAATAAAAAAAATATAATGATAAGAAAAAGATTTTATAAATATTTGTAAAATTTTATTTTGGAAATTAACAGCATAGCCAGTATTTAAAAAAAACAAATATTACGAATTTGAATTTTGGTATTATTTATTAAGACGATGATTATTCTCAAATATTCAATTAACCTTTGAAATTCTTTCTAGAAAAAGGTATAATCTTATTTATAATTATAACCAGTTATGGTAGAGAGCTTTTTTTTCCTTAGTATTATTTAAAACCTCTGAAATATAAAATATTTAAGACGTTCCCAACCTATTAAAGTTTCATCAAATTTATTCGATTTTTTTAAATTTATTATTAATCGCTAATTAAGATAATAAAGTCGATTTGCATCGCCGTAACTATGACAAACGAATTACTTCCACGTGGAAATTGACCAATAGCGAAAAGATGAAAAAGTTGGACGTTAATTTCGTCCGAAATGGTGCCCATTTAAGTAAGTTTCCTTTATACATTATCTGACCTGGTTTCGAGTTCCTGTTCTGTTATTTTTTTCTAGCTGAAAAAAAGAAATTTTGATTATAATGTAAATTTTTTGGAAAAATAGGGAAATTTCATTTAAAAAATTATTTTACAGTTCAATATTGATTTTTTTCAAGTTTTATTAAAAATATATTGACTATTAATATATTATGAAGTATGATATAATTTTAAATATTTAATCTGTTATCTTTGTTTGAAGATGAAAACAATTCCAAGATCTCTAAAATTGAGCAATTTATCTCGCAACATCTAAATCTAGGTATCCAGAAAATCGGTTTAATAACATCTATTCCTTTATCAACTTCATTGTCTTTAAAATTAAATTCGCAATATCTTAGGTCAAGTATATAAGTTGGGTAATGTATGTCCCCGCAGAAAAATTATCCATTTTTTAATATATTGTTCGTCTCTATAATTTCGTTTAATATTCATACTATAAATAAATGCTTGAATAACATCAAATAATTTATCCGCTTCCTCTACCTCTATTTGTATAGAAATAACTTTATAAAATTGTATAACTGTGCTAGATCATTTTATAAAACTTCATTATCTAGAAGATTAAGTCTCTTATCTCTATAAAAATATGGAGTATTTCCGCAAAATATTTTTATTTTTTTAACAGACTATCAATTATTAAAACTATAGTGTTCTACGAATTGGACTAGGTAACTTTAAGGAAACAATCCTATTTTTAGCTTTAAGAAGTTGTTCCTTGCATGTGTAAAAGAATGCTGAAATACTTTGGCCTTTTGCTACTAATATTTTCTAAATCCTTTAAAAGCAAATTAAGTCCATGAGATGCAGACCCAATGCATTTGATAATTGGATACATATTTCTCACAAGTGTCCGGCTTTCTTCATTACTTGCATTATCTTTTATTATGATTTAAATTTTGTGTTTCCTATTTCTTCAATTACTTTAACAAATTCTATATAAGTATTCTTCTTATATGCATATTGGTCCCTTTATCAATTAATATATAGAAAATGGGATTTGGGATTAGTATAAATTTATAATACATTCTATTCTTATATTTGTCCACCCATCATTAATAAGGGTCAAATTTTTATTTTTACATTATCTTTTGGTTACTTTAAATTTACTATTTAACAAATATTTACTTAGTATATATCTTTAGAGCATTTTAAATGCTGTTTTTAATGATTGAAATAATTTCTTTCAAATATACGTTTCATTATCGAAAATGGACAATTTAACATAAAGATGGCTGTTGCTAAATTATTTAATTAAATTTCTTGCTAATATATTAGAAAAGTATTTAGTTTATCTCCTATATTACTTTTATATATAAAAAAACAATTATAAGCTAGTTGAAAAAGGAGTTTGGCTATAATGATTGAAATTTATAATAATATTAAAGAGGTATTTTTTAGAAAGTCATAATGGACCAAATTTCCCATTTATACCTATGATTATACATATTTAATATAAAATCATTGTTAAGATTTTATTAAGATACTCTTTAAAAGTTTAAGATATATCATTGCAATATAAATGTATCGATGCTTAAAATGCGACATATGCTTACCCCTGATTTTTGTAAAGTCTTTTGGTGGTTTTTTCATCATGAATTCTATTGGAAGGTTTTGAGTCCACCTTTTAAAGGTCTTTGAGACTTAAGAAAATTAAATTTTTAAATGCGGTGTATAAATATCAGAGACCTCCGTATTTTAATTTAATTTTTTTTTAAAAAATACACAACCCGTGCCTAAAAAAATTTTTTTTTAAAATACCAAGACCTGGCCAAATACTTTAAATCGCCAATATTAACTATAAAAATAAAAAATATATATATTTTCATATTTATGATAAATTTGTTAAATTTTGTAATTGAAAAATAAAATTTAAGTTGTAATAAGCTAGTAAATATATTTTCTTTCAATAATATTAAGTAATAGAATTTTAAATTATTTGATATTTAATATCAATTTTTTACTTAATATTTATGTAAAATAAAAAAAATGTTTTTGAAAATTTTTTTTTAAAAGATATTATATAATCAAATTATGATTGATTATGATTAATTACTTTTTAGCAACGCAGTATTTAGTCATACCCTTGATATCTAGATTTAATAACTGTTATATATTATAAGGAATGGTATCTTAATAAATTGGGATATTTAACTGTGTAACAGAATGGGAGCGCACAAAAGTATCTTTGTTCTGGCTCCCTGATTTTTATGCATTTTTAATATATATCAAATTTTTATGTTAACAAATATTTGATTATTTAAAAATTAATATTTTGTTTTTATATAAACCAGAATTAATATTTATAAACTGTAGCTGAATTAATCTTACTTTCAACATTAATTAAAGAGGGCATATTAATACTAAAAATTTTTATATCAGCTTAAATTATAACAATATTATAATGATTTTTTAAAGTAGTTTATAAGTATAACAAAAAATGTTCTGGATTAATACAACATAAAATAACATATAAAATTTGGCGATTTATTAAATAATTATTTAAAATGCAAGTAAGGAAGAAAATTGATTTAAATCATGATTTTTATTCAATTAATTATTGATTTTATATTTCTAATTCGAGTTTAATATTGAAATATTTTAGCAATTAATTTCTATTTTTTAAAAATAAAACAAATAACCATTGCGACAGGAAAAAATCTTCCTTTTTTGAGTAAAGAGATTTTTGATGGGATTTAGCCTAAGAATGCCAATATCTTTTTATATATAAGTAAATCTTTTGTAGTTTTCATGAATAAAATATCTTTCGAGATTAAATCAAAAAATTTTGGCATTGCGACATTTAGCATTGGTTTATTAAATAAAATGATGGACTCATTTTTAATTTAACCAATTTTAAAAAAAAGACGGCCGAAAAGATAAAAATGCTCACCAACTCTATCAGTTAATGTCATCCTCGAATTCGTTATCTTTAAGTTCCTTGGGCGATAATAATAAGACGGAAGCATCTCTTATAAACATTCCTTACGATAAAGAAGTTAAGAAATTTTATGTGACCTCAACATATACGGTCGTATCCGAGAAATGGTATCAAGGTACTAAATTAGGGGAGATCATAGAAAAGAAGGTTTTATATATTTAATATTTTCCTGCATTTCATTTCCTTATTTTGATCAAACCTATTTATTCATTCTGATTGTCAACCTTTATGGCGAAAGTTATTCATATATTTTAAATGTTTTCAATGTGTTATTTGACTTTATATCATAAAGTAGAATGCTATTTTTTTTGTGTTATATAAAAAAAAGGTGCAAAAAACCCCGGAATTATTGAGCTCAATTTTGATTAAAAATGATCAAAATCCAAATTACATTACTCCCATGTTAAACAAAGAACCCATATACGTCAGTTCATCATCGGGTAAGAATGGAGACCTAAGCTCGTCCTTTCAAACAAGTTTTTATTTCATTTTTTTTTATTGTTACTATATAATCCAAACTCGCTTTTATAGCATTTTTTAAGAGGCCGTAAATTTAAAGGCGCTGAGAGCAGAAAGCCTAGATAAACTTTGTAACATATTTCTTAGTCTCGAAATCAAAACATAAAAAGTTACCTATTCCATGAATCATAACAAAATTTGAGGAATTTTAATTTTTCAATAAAAAAATATATATTTAGTTACTTTATAATAATTATAATTAATTTCATTTAGTATTTTAGGCAAATAAATTTTACTACATTAGTTACTTATCATTTTTTAAAAATGCAATTATATTATATATTTTTTCAAGGCGAGGACTCAAACAAAGCCAATCCTAAAGGATATGAGAATGCCCTTTTTGACTCCAATGCAATGGATATCCTGTCTATTGACAAAGGTGTGTTATAATCGCAAATTATTGTCTTAATTTTTGATAATCATATTTTATTTTTGGTTAGGTTGGTTAATTTATGTTTACTTTTTACTAAAATTTAATATGTATTATATTATCAAAGTTTGGAACCTAGACACAAGGGGGTTTTAATTCTTAGAAAAAGTGGTTCAAACAATAACTCAAACTGCATTGAAATAATTGAAAGTAGATTATCTTCATCAATATCTTGCATAAATATAAATATCATTTTATGCCAGTCTGTCAGTAGACCAAATCGGCACATATTAAAAAAATTGATTATTTTCAAAAAGCATCCAATGTAGTAAAATAGTCAAATTGCTTTTACAAAATATTTACCCTTCACATTAAAAAATATATTAGTATCAGGGTTGGGCAAAAGGTTACAAATAGCGTTACACTTTACATAACCTAATGCTCCTGTTATTCTATCAATTCGAAAATGCAAAAAAGAGCTTTGTAACCTTTATATTTTTTTAGTAACAACATTTATTTTATTTATTTTTTTAAATTCATTGATTCGAAACCGATGAAAATTTAGAACATGAATCATATTATTTTTTTTAGAAGACGAAATTATTGTAGATGATGACTAAATTAATATCAAGAAAGCTGACTTTAATATCATGGGCTGTAATATTATTGATAAAAAGCATGTTTTTAATTTTAGAATTTATATTGACCTTTAAAAAATGCTATCATTTAAAATTGAAATTCTATATAAATATCCGATAATCAAATAAATTTTTAATAATACAAATTTACCATTCGTTTCCATCGAACGCCTTTTTTCTTTTGCTAATTCGATTAGGCCAAATAGAAGAAGATTAAATGTTGTTCTATTTGAATAATTAGTTCCTTTATCAAAAGTTTAAATTATAATATTTCATTGTTATAATCATAGGCGTAGCCAGGGGGAGACAAGGGTAAAAGTTAATATTTTTTTATAAAAATATTCATCATAATTTATTAGTGCTGTAAACATTCTAAAAAAATCGAACGCGTTCAACGTTCATTGACAAAAATCGAACGCGTTCAAGTTCATGTTCAAAAAAAAGGAACGCGTTCACTTTCATAAAACCGTTCAAAATTTTATGATAAATTTTTTTAAAATTAAATTTAATATAAATAAACTTATATTTTTAATATAATATATTTTGGCCATGTTAAAAAATAAAATAAACAATAATATTCAAATTAATAAACTATGTGTTTAAAAAATTGAAATGTGAAAAGGAAATACACAGTCGATTAAAAAATATAAATAATACATTTTTTAAAAAAATTCTGAAATATATAAATTTTTTAAAATTATAAAAATATTTTTAAAATTGAACGAACGTTAAATTCGAACGCGTTCGTCATAAAAAAGGAACGCGTTCACTTTCATAAAACCGTTCAAAATTTTATGATAAATTTTTTTTAAATTAAATTTAATATAAATAAACTTATATTTTTAATATAATATATTTTGGCCATGTTAAAAAATAAAATAAACAATAATATTCAAATTAATAAACTATGTGTTTAAAAAATTGAAATGTGAAAAGGAAATACACAGCCGATTAAAAAATATAAATAATACATTTTTTAAAAAAATTCTGAAATATTAAATTTTTTAAAATTATAAAAATATTTTTAAAATTGAACGAACGTTAAATTCGAACGCGTTCGTCATAAAAAAGGAACGCGTTCACTTTCATAAAACCGTTCAAAATTTTATGATAAATTTTTTTTAAATTAAATTTAATATAAATAAACTTATATTTTTAATATAATATATTTTGGCCATGTTAAAAAATAAAATAAACAATAATATTCAAATTAATAAACTATGTGTTTAAAAAATTGAAATGTGAAAAGGAAATACACAGCCGATTAAAAAATATAAATAATACATTTTTTAAAAAAATTCTGAAATATTAAATTTTTTAAAATTATAAAAATATTTTTAAAATTGAACGAACGTTAAATTCGAACGCGTTCGTCATAAAAAAGGAACGCGTTCACGTTCAAAGTTCGTCAAAAATAAAAGGAACGCCGTTCATCATTTTTTTTCAAAAAAACAAACTTCGTTCACGAACGCGTTCAATGAACGCGTTCGTTTTACAACACTATAATTTATACATTTTTGGAAAAAAGCATTTATATATAAAAAAGAGTGAACCAAAAATGTTTTATAGAATATAAGATAAGTCTTAAGACAAAAGTGAAATGTATTATAATTATTAAAATAATAGATCCATAAAATTACTAAATAATATAATATATCAAATATAATTTTTTATAAAGTGAGTAATTTTAATTTATTTATCTTAATAAAAGTAAAATATAATTATTTAACTATATGATAAAATTAAATAAAAAAATTAAAAGACAATACAGTGGAATATTTTATTCAATTATCTTATGACAATCAAGTAATTTTTACCAATATAGCGAATTATATATTTTACAGAAAACTATAAAATATTGATAAGGACATCAGAAAATATCTTTTAAAGACATTGTGGGATAAATAATATGAAGATTAATTTTTAATATTTTATTTAAAATAAATAGATGGCTAAAATAATTGAATGCAAATTGTTATCAAGAGTATTGATTAGTAAAATTTGTTAAAATATTAACTGTAATATATTCTCTAACTGTCAAATATGTCTGTAAAAGTGGAATTTTACCTAGTATTTTGTAACTAATTCTATATAATAGAGGAATATCAACTATATGCCTACTTACTTTTTCTAAATAAATTTCTTATACTTGTTTGGAATAAATTATTACCATGCTTTTATATTAATGTATATACAAGTAATTTATTATATTTTATATAAACTAATAAAAATGTATTTCATATTTGTTCCAGGCTTATTTTTTTTATTAAAATTAACCTCCTATCTTGTAAAAATATTTTATGATTATATATAGACTAAGGTATGCCCGGCCTCCAAAAGGAGATCTGGGGGCGAAGCCCCCAGTAATTTTTTAATTCCCCCTCCTTAGGAAAATCTTGGCTACGCCTATGGTTATAATATCAATTTCGATTAAATTGTAAATACTCCAGTCTGTGTTTATAGTTTATACTGACTTTTATTATTTTAATGAATTGTAGCAAAATGAATGATTATATTTTTTAATGTAATGAAGAGCTTTTGTAACCGTTACACGTATGAATGACCATAATTAACTTTTTAACAAGAATAACTTAACCAATTTTTTCCTTCAGTAATGGTAACCGTTACTTTTTAGAGTACCGTCCCCAACCATGGTTAATATTATGTTTTTAAGGCATCTAATCTAAATACTTATTTTATTTTAAGTTATCTTATATCATTTATAGCATTTAAAGTATCTTTTATTTAAATATTAGATATAATTTTTTTTTAAAGACTAAAAACTTTTTAATATAAATTGTTTACCCCAGCTATAATGATTAAAAAAGTATACATCGGACAATTTTTATAAGATGCATTTTAATTAGGACTAATGGGATCGACCTCCTTAAAGGGACAAGTTAAGGAGGTCTTCACTTTCTATAAATTTTACTCTATCATGAATTTTTATTCTTTATCATTATTTTTTTAAAGCAAACAATTATAATGTGCCGATATTTGAAAGTTTACCGCTTTTATCCAACGGCAATAATTTTCACAAGTTAGTATCCGACACTGGTTCTAATGTCATAGAAACGCCTCCTGGCGACTCCTTAAATAATAAAATAGAATCACATAACGTTTTTAAAATAGCGAGCGACATTCCCGATAAAACACCTATCGTATTGATGGACAAACTGAAGGGTGTAACGATGAACACGATTGTAGAAAGGCGACTTGAGCCCAATAGTTTTATTATAATTATATCGAATATTTGTATAACTGTGTTTTTATATTTTTGGTTATCAATAATATTAAAAAGCAAATTTATGAATCACAACTTTCAATCAATACTATACTCTTGTATGGTAGAATACTAGAGTGATGCCAAGAGTCATATTTAAAATTTAGAATATTATATACATTAAAATGTGCCAATCGAATTTCTTTATTTAAATTTTTTAAATGATAATTAATGTCTTTTTAAATAATATATAAAGATTCATCTTTGGTTAATCATCCTGACCCTTTACCCCTACCTGCCAATTCCCCTACTGCCGCCTCAAAATGTCTTAGAAGAGGTAGAAAACCCAAAATTAAACCAAATAATAGTAAAAAATTGGGCCCATTTACTGGCCAAACATCGCTTCAATATACCAATAAATCACCGCCTCTAAATATTTGTATACCCCAAATTTTATCTCGCTACGGTATTAAATTGGTGTGGGCCAAGTGGAAAGATGGGAATTATTACCCTGGTACCGTTAATGATAGGAACAAGCAAAAAATTAGCGATTCTGGATTTTGTACGACTATGAACCAAAGTATCGATAATGGTAATCCTTCTCGTTCCATAAATCCTACTGTTTTGATTAATTCGCTTAATTCTCTCAGATTAAAGGTCAGATTTTGTGACGGTGATTTTTGTCAATGCCTGATAAAAGATATATTAATATTGGGAACGTGTAGGAACGATAAGGAATTGGAAGGGGTTAATCCTGATCATATTGAAGGTAACCAAGATAAAGAAAATGGATACACGTGGTCATCATATAAATGTGCCAAACTTAAAGGTGGTTAATTTTTGTTTTCCTTTTAATATTCAGGTAATACGTTTTTTGACAATTCTATAAAAAAAACTGACATCATTTTACATAAATAAATTCTAAATTGGTTCCTTATTACATTTTAATATATTATACAAAAATAAAAGGCTCAACAGCCTCCAAAGACAAAAACCCATTTTACTATGGCACATTTTTGAAACCTCATATGCTTGTTCTAGCCGATCTAAGCAACCCCCAACCTCCTGGCCATAATAATTCCATGGTTTCTGATAGTGCCGAAGATCTCAAGAAGGATTCCTCAACGAAAGCTAGGTACAATTATTACGAAGAATGTGTCTTAATTGAAAATGTTTACGTTTGTTCCGAGGAATCAAATCAATGTAAATTATTTTATAAATTATATCTAGCAATTTTCTTGAATATTTTTTAATTCTAAATTTTTTATTTAAACCAATATTTACTTGCAGAAAATACATTAATAGTAGAAAATGTAATAATTAAAGATTTATTCACTTATGGCACTTAGATTATAACCTCTTGACTCATTTTAGTTTAAACTAGAGTTCTGCAAAACCCAATTAAGTTAGGTTGGGAAAGTTATTATTTATATTTTCGGGATAAGGGTTGGAAATGGTTTTGGAATTTTTAAAAAAAATTTAATCAGTTACAACAATTAATACTGGTTTTTGTCTATTATTATACAATTTTGCGTTTCCTTTATTTCTATTATAACATGTTGGAAAAAATAAATTTTAGGGTAATGATTTTTTCGCATCTTATTGGGTAGGGAGTAATTAGTTTTATGTTCATATTGGGTCTGCAAATAAATTATGGTTTTTTATATGTCGTTTTAAATGCTCTTCCTTCTACAGATTTAGTTGGCTCTAGTTCCAATCAAACTGCATAAAAATTAAATATTTTTAATCTAATTTATGGTCATACAATTAAATTCATTTTTCAAAAATATTTTTTATATTATAAAAATCTGAAAGATAAAATGGACTCTCATTTTTGCAACCTGGAAAAATTTCCCAATATAGGTAGCAAAAAACGGATCCCAACCTATAGAGTTCCTTTAACCAAAATAGTCATAAATGCTAAAAGATTATTGGAAGCAAGTAAAGTGGAAATTGGCGAGGAATTTCCAACACTTAGATCTTTAATCGAATACGATATTAAAGTAAAAAAAATTTTTAGTTTTTTATAGAAAGAGAGGAAGGAAGAAAAGAAAAGAAAGAATAAGAATATAGATAACAAAGTACCTATCTGAGACAAAATAATAAATTAAAACTTTAAACCTGCCTCTTATAAAAAATAGAACCAGAATTTGGAACCTATAGACTAAAAAGGGTTCGGGTTATGAATATTTTTTTTAAAAAAATTGCGATTCTTAGATCTGACATGGTTCCAGTTCTTAGATCTGACATAAATACATAAAATTGAACACTTTCCTTAAATATGAAATAATAGGAGAGGGTCTTATTCTTAAGCTTAGCAGAAATATTTCTAAAAATAATAACCATTTGTAAAGCGTTTAGATTTTATTTTCTCGTACTCAATATATTTTAGCCATTTTCAAATTGCGATTTATTTTATAATATCTTATCGATATTTTTTAAAATTATGTTTTTATTCAAATCTAATATCATTTTATAGAAATCAGATAAATCATCCTCAGGTGGCGATTCCGGTTTACCTTCTACCATCAAACCTAATAAAGAGATTGGTAACATTTTTTTTTATCAAAAAAACATATATTACATTATATCATAATCACATTATACGCAATAAATTGCACAGATTCCGAAACTAAAAACAGCGTGATTAGTAGTAATCATAGAAACTATGTGTCTATCAATCCTGACACCAGGAATAATATTTACTTAACCCCTAGTAAAAAAAGACCTATTTCGGATGACAATTCATCTTTAACTACGCTGGAAAGTTGTTTTAAAAGTCAAAGCGAAAAAGTCTCTAACCCCAGTTGGAGAAGGGCTAAAAGGAGGATCAAACCAAGTACGCCCACTAAAAATCAGACTGACGATTCCAAGTTATTGGTTGAGTCGGCTGGCCCTTTATTGCCTAAAGGTTATTTTTTACTGTTAGATGAAAAATTTATTATTTAAATATTTCATAAAAATTAAAATATATGAATTTTAATAAACCATAAATATAATAGTAAAATATTTTTTCCCAAAATATAATATTATAAATTATGTCACTCTTTTGCCTTTTTTGTGTTTATATGACTCATCTAAATCTTAGGTAGTCAATTATTTCAAAATATTGCATTTCTTTTGACTCACAAACCTGTACCTAGCAATTCAACCTTGCCAAAGAAGGAATACAAGTTTAATAGCCCTTTGAAAAGGACTCCTAGAGGCAGTAAAAGTGAAACTAAACTAGATTATCTAAAATCTCCTTGTTCTGTAAACATGCTGGAACTTTCCTCGTCTAATACTGGGTCAAGCTCTGACGATGGTCCAACTATAGAATTTAATAAGTAAAAAAATTTAAACTCGATTAATAAATTTATGTAATAAATTAAGATGTGGTTGGATAAATTTCTATATACTAATATAGTAATGGAACTATTCACGTTCTTTTGTCCTTACAATCCGTATTACTTCTATTTTTAATGTTATTAAATGATATCTTGTGCTAATATGGCTTGGATCAAAGTATAATATATAATAAAAACAGGCATAAGCAACTATTTGAATATACCTTCCAGTTCTAAAACTAATTAATGATTGCCACCATAACTTTCAGCCACATATTATTTATATTAAATAATTCCGTGGAGATTATGGTCATTAATATTCAAATTTGTTTTACTTCAGGCAGCACTTAACAAATCAAATAGTATCGGGGGGTGGTCTGATATTTGAATCGTATTCTGATATCCACATAACCCTTTCCCAATCCCAACAAAGGGTTTTGTGCATCGCGGACACTTATCTCAGAACTGAAAAATATTTGAAATGTTTAGCTTGCGATATACCCATTCTTACTCATATCTATATCATTCATTGCTGCAAGAAAAATCTTCTTTTGGATTACGAGAATTATATGTTACCTGCTGGTTAGTATATTTTGATTTTATTTTGTTAATATATTTAGCTGTTTATTTTTCTAACTTTACCCAAATTAAATAATCCTTAATTTATATTATATTTACAATGTGAATTTAATTTTTATATTATATATTTCCCCATGTAACAGGTAGAAGTTTATTGACAAATACCTCGATCCCACGCACTAAGATTGATAAAAAATTTACTTCCCTAAAAATCATGTTAATCATGTCACCTGTTATGGCTTCCTTGAATCCACAGGAGAGTATTTGTTATGCATTAGTCAAATTTATGGGTTTTCAAATTATTGTTGGTCAAAACCTTGGTATATTATATAATAGTCTATATTAATATTTTTTTTCCATATTCCAAGTCATAAAAATTATACCTCTCGTGCATTTAATTAATGAGTTTTAAGGGTTATTTATCATTTTCATAAAATTTTTACCAAAAATGGCTATTAATAATATTTTATTAGTAAAGGTGTTTGATTTTTTTTTAAAATATAATAAAATCATAAGTACGATGATTATCTTGTATTAAGAAAATATAACTAGGGTTATTTTACTTTTTAAAAGGTTATTTTTGTTTTCGGTATATCAGATCCATCTAAAAAATAAATAATTCCAATCTAAAATTTTTTTTATCGTCGCTTTAAAATTGGAGTGTTCTATTCAACATTCAAAAAAATGAGTTAAATATTTTTTATATTTTAACTAATAAACAATGTTATTAACTTCAATTAAAAATAGTTTTGCTTCTTTATCTTGTTGTTTTGTCTTTAATTAAATAAAGTTTCTTTTGTTTTAAATTAAGTACAATTAAGGTTAACATATGGTTTTTGTGTTTTCTTTTTACATAGGGGGTTTTCTTACTTTTGAAGTCCTTAATAGGGTGTTCGGCAGTTAGATATTTAGATCCGGGGGATCGCCCTGCATCCAGTGGTATAATTAGAGTTCCGGAAAATATGGGGAGGGGTAGGTTTTATCCCTAATTATGTAAGAAAAAACGAACACAACCCCTTTTTGCGAAAACGTTTTTTTTTCAATTTGCGCCAATTTTATTTTAATTTTTTTTGCGCGTTTATTTTCCCTATAAAAGGGACAAATTTTTATACTAAGAGGGACTTTATTTTTTGTTTTAAAATTAAATTATACTTCTTTTTTTTTAAATTAATTTGGATATACACTTTTTTATTTTATTAATAATTTTGAATTATAGTTTTTTTGAGTAAATTATTTATGCCTCTTACAATATCCCAGTTAAACGAACTCCCTACCGTTTAAACCTTTACTGAAGCCCCGACTTTTCACAATAATTTATAAGAAAAATATCGCAATAATTAATTTAAAAAAATATTTAAGCATTAATTGTGATTTTAATTTAACGTTTTTGATAGAATAATGGTAAAGTTAGGCATATATTTAAATATTTCCTAATTTTATATGATATCATCCTTAAATTTTCACACTAAAAATTAGGGCTATATTTTTATACAAACCACATTGGGAATATTAAATTATATGAAAAGGCCAATAAAAAAATGAAATTTTCCTTGAGAAATGTGAATGGGTATTTATAGTCCATTCATTAGCTACATTCAATCTCATATTTAACTAACTTTAAAAGGATTAACATTAAATTTATAAAATATAGATAGCCGTTATTATTTTAACATTAAATTCACTGGAAAAGTATCACTTTTTATATATTAGAAGAATGATCTTTAGACAACTTTAACGCTATCTGTAAAATAAATATATTTAAAAAATGCTATAAAATTCCCTCAAAAATAGATTCCTGATTTTTTTCATTTTTCCGAGTATGGCACTTCAAAAAGTTTTTGCTGTTATTTGTACATAGTGAAATTCAGATAAATAATATTAAATTGGTCTTTTTATAGCGAATTTATTATGTAAGAAAGAATAGTATATTTTTCTAATATAGTCTTGTATCAATTTTTATAATTTATATAAAATTATTTTTAACATTTCATCGACAGAACTATCAGTTTCACAAAAGCCTAACATTATCGTCGCATTTAAACAAGACGTCCAATTGACTAACATTGCTAAAGAGTTAGGCATAGCCATTGTCAATGTGGAATGGGTAATACAATCTTTGATACACGGGGAGTGCATACCTTGGGAGAGCCATGAAAAACTATACTCATTTTAATTTGACCTCAATCCTTTATTTTAATCCATTCCATTTTATTCTAATAATATAAGAAAAATATTTTTAAACTACAATCGATTGTGTTAACCTTTTTTTCATCACATAGACACAGAAATCTATATTTATCCTCTTTTAGAAAATATTTTAACTTTTTATTTAGACTTATAAAAATAAAATTCTATATATCAAAATCATGCTTTTTCAATAAAAAAAGTCAATAATTGTTGTAGAATTATTTCCTAGAAATGACATTTTTTAGAAATAGATTTGTGTAGGTCATGGTTCTGATCTAAATATCCAAAGAACTGACCCGTAGTCTTAAAATAAGATTTGATTATTTGTATTTAACATAAATGCTAATGGTGCACATTTTTTTTATTTACCCAATTTAATAAAATATATTAATATTTAATAAATATGAAGATATCATAATATAGCTATACAACTGAATTGCATTAACGATTGAGGACTGAACCCCAAGCTGTCAGTCAGTCCAGTTCGATTATTTAAGATCAATAGGACTGAACCCTTTTGTTAACCTTTGAATCATGGGTCGGTAAATAAATAAATATAACCCTCGCCTAAGGGGATTGATTTATAGCGTCGATTGTTATTGATTCTTTTCTAGTAACACTTGTGGCTTAGATACTAGAGACCATTGACGAATGTCCGAATTCGGATTTTAATTTTAGGTTATCTTAGGTATTTCCGTTCTAGGGGGTATGTTATATAAGAAATAAAGCTTAGATATGATTAGGACTAAATATGCATTTTAATGAATGGGTACCGTTTATATCTATGTTGAATAACATCGTGTATCATTGCCCTCATATTGCCCACAAAATGAGCATTTTAAATACAAATACTACATTTTCAAATGGTATCGTTTGGTCAAATTACCCATTGGCGCTAGAATTTTTATTGATTCATTTTGCACGTTGGTCTACACGTTCTTTAAAAACTAAGAAGTTTTTTTTGGAAACTAAAAAACCTTTTTACTCAGATAAGAATAATAAGGAGGAGGGCAATAAAAATTCCTTCCTAGTTGTTTAATTGTAATTTAAATTTAATATAGAAATGTAAAAAATAATTTTAATGAAATATTTATAAAAAATTATTTATTTTTATAACTTACACCTCATTTATAGTAAACACTTTGTTCAAGAGGTGAGGTATTTAGCGTTTGGTTATTTACAAAATCAAGCCAATAAATAGGTAGAATTTATTAATATAGTGCAAAATGATGTAAACGCTATGATAAATTTTGAAAAACATGTACATATTTTTTAAAAATTATTATCGCTGTGATTTCGATAGCTTTAAATATCACGCCACTTGAATTTAACAAAACGCGTTTACTATAAGTGAGGCCTTATATAAAATTTTGAATTGACGATACTCAATTTAAATAAGGGATGCGTTACGTTTTTTTATCAAAAAAATATGGCAAATGCAAATAAATCTGTGGGCACTATTATAAATTTTTCATGAAATTAATATGAAAAAAAATGTAAAATTTAGCGTGATACTTTAGGGCAATTCTAGCCAGCAGACTTTCGTCCATATCTAATTTAAACTATCTCCAATAGGCTATATTAGGCCTTGGTCTTCATTAATTTAAGAATCAACAACAGGACAGGAATCCAATTTGAATTTTTTTTATTATTAAATTTGAGTTTTTAGGAAAAAAATATATTAAATAATTTTTGTTTAATTTATTATTACAATAAATTTTATATTATATTATATTAATTATTTCTATGAAATAACAAAATAATACATTGTGTTTGGTGGTCAATTTAACATTGAAATAACGTAGATATATTATAACATAGGAGTAGCAAACTTAGGTTAAATCATAGACACGTTTATAAAATTTATAATTAGATATAAAATTTGAATGAGCTGATGAACAATTATTTTATTAATTAAAAATCAAGTTCACGTTTATATTTATTGGTTATAAGAAAAATTATTAAATATAAATCATTCGATAAACTACAAATTTTAATAAACATGTATAAAATAAGAATGTGCCTTTATATACATATAAATACACAATTCGTCGGTTTAAGATAAATCCACCTGGAGGAAGTCAATTCAATATATCGGTGCCACGAGTTATATCTTTAGTGTAATTCGGTAAATGATCTTTATTTAAATTTAAATTAGTGGTTTCATTTATGGTAAAATGATCTGACAAGGGAATAGGAATGTTGGGGTCATGATGAATGTGCTCTGATAAATTGGTTACGGTTACATGGCTCTTCGGAGTAGGGTGGGTGCAGTCAACGTGTTGTTTTTCGTCATCATCGCTACTCGGGTTTTCCTATAAAAAAAATTATAGATGAACTATTGTTTGTAAAATAATTCTGATTAATTATTTAACCATTGGCGATTTCTAGGACACGGTCAGTCCTCGATTTTAATATTTTCATTCAGGCCCGAGTGGGATTTTTGCAAAATATTTAATTATTTTGTTTTCCTAATACTTTTTCAATAAAACCCAACAAATTTTTTTCATTATCCTCAGGCGTTTATAATTTATATCTCTTTTTAAGGTACATATTTATTCTTGAGGATTAAAAAATAAAATAGGTTCCAGTGCTCTATATATACATTCTATATGGGCTAAGCTAGATATTATATATCTAAGAGTCTAATTTTGACGAATATTTGGTGACTTGTAAATCTTGCCAAACCATGTATACAACATAATATTGTTTCATATATCGAAAACTGCATTGCAAGTCATCATATATGATATTTTTAAAATTGTTGAGTAATAAAAATAACTTTAGGTCTCGTTAATATATTGGATATTGTCCTAACTTATGATTAAATTATTCATATTCTTTGTTTAATTAATTCATAACTTTTATTAAGTTATGTTTAATTGATTAACGTTTAATATATAAAAGAAAAATATCACTGTGTGACAAATTTCGACTTGATTTTTTGGGAGAAAATAAAATAAACATGTTTAAAGACCGTTTTTTATGCATATTCTAAATCCGCTGTCAGTTTTTTTCTAGCACGTCAGGTTTTTTATTTATTTTAGGTTAAAGTGGCCAAAAAGGTCATTTTTAGCACTTTTTGAAGGTTTATAACTTCGGTTCTAATGATCCCTACAACTAAAAAAATATCTTAATTTTTGCAGCAAACTTTCCTTATTATTATTATACATTTTTTTTTATAAAATCCTTACTCAATTTTTAAACAAACTATATTTTTTAAATTTACCTTTATTTATAAAATCTTTTTTAATATAGCTTACATTTAATATATTTATTTATTGTGGCTTTCGTTCTCTTCGCTACACTGCACACGGTACGATTCCCAAACAATTTATTTTAAATGAAATAGTTACATTTCTCATATTTAAATAAATATATTATGCTAAGCTAACCTATCTCATATTTTACTTTTAATAAACCTTTTATCGGTCCGTTGTCCCACCTCATCTTTCATTATTATATAGGATTTAACTTGTAATATACAATAAATTTATTGAATTTAAAAAAAATTAAACAATAACATAAAATTTATCGAATTTAAAAACATTTAATGGTAAATCTAAATATATTTCCGCGAATATGAAGTTGATGATTATTCTTCAAAAAAGATACTCCAGCAGTAGTCCGCCAACATATTTATACGATTCTTGCCTTGATAAAACTTTTCGAGATTTTCTATCTGTTGATGGAACCGTTCCCCATTTCTTCTGACATAGCACCTAAGTTTTCAGGAAAAAATCTTTATGGGAATAAAGAAAATGGATTTTGAGAGACATTCGGCATCCCATTTCCTTATAATTTGTTAATAGGTCATCAATTTTCTCACGATAGTCGACTGATTTATGATTGCCAAGGAACGATCTGCATATCCATTTAAAAGATTCCCATGCTTTTAATTCAATGAGTAACAATTCATCTTCAAAAAAACTGTCCTTCATGAGTTTTCTTATTTGGGGGGCCCACTAAAATCCCCTCTTTTATTTTTGCTTGGGAAAGCTTGGGGAAAAAATTTCTAAGGTATATCGTGGGGCCCTCGGACAATTTTTTGATAAAAGAAAGAAAGAAATTTTGATTAGTCCTAATTTTATGTGCAAAGGAGGCAGCAAAATCTTATTTTTAGAAATAAGCGGGATGCGATTTTTTTCAAGAACGTTGGGACGATCCTCCCATTCAGATACTGTATAATGTTTAGGATTCTCTGGAATTCCAGAGACAAAGAAAACACGAATGCTTGGTGTAGTCTAACTGAAGGCCCGTCAGGATTGCGATCATTTTGAGATCGCAGCATATCTTAAATTTGTAAATGGAATAATTTATTTTTGACAATAAATATTTCATATTTTCATATGATTCATTTAACTGGTTGGTATAGTCGATGGGAATTGATGGCTTAGAATTTCCGATATGAAGCAAAACTGCTTTCAAGCTGTTTTTGCTTGAATCGATGAACAAGCGCCATTCATCGGGCACCAATTCAATATTAAGTTGTAAAAAAAGTTGACCTAAATTGTTGGAATAGTATAAAAAATTTTCGTAAAAGACTAAATTTTTAAACGATGCTCCACGGAATTGGTATGAAGTTCGTACTCCATTTTTTTAAATTTTAAAATCATTAAGCCTTGAGGCTAAAAATTCGGACTTTCTTTTTGAAAGTGGTAAATTTCTGGTTATGTCATTTAGTTGCTCTTGCGGCATAAATGGCGAATCCTCTTCGGGATGATACTCAAGATCAATATTGTCATTGTCCTGGCAACGTAATTTTTCTAGCTGCGAACTATTAAAAAAAGGAACTGTTGTATGCATATTATATTTTACCGGATAAACAACCGACGAAATTTCAGGATAACGAATTTTTCTTATTTTTTTTGTTAAACCCAAATGTACTAATCGAGCAAAAATAACAATCCCACGAATGATTTCTTGCCACGTGCCAAAATGCAGGGTTCGAATAAGGCAAATATGACCGTTTTCCATTTACCCATGAATTAAAAGAATTATAGCATGTTTTACATATGTAATTAGGGGAAAATGGTTTATCCAAATGCAGAGTGGAATATTGTAATAAATTTCATAAATCATCTAAATGATTGGAGAAATTGGACATTTTTGTGCGGGCAATATATAGCCCGCACAGATGTAACAAAATTTAGAGACACACTTTAAACAAGGGGACCTCGGCATTAATTTTTTGTAGAAAATTATATAAGGAGGGAATTTAAATAATATTTAAAATCCAATTTAAAAAAAAAATTAATGAAAGAAATTAAATGTTTATGAAAAATTAAGCGCGAAAAAAAATAATCCTCCTTTCTTCCTACTCGTTATTTGGCATTATTATTTATTGCCCATACTACGGGTTCAAGGTACTCCATTGGAAAATCATATATTTTGATATAAATTGATTAAAAAAACAAATATTCTTAAATACATCTAAAAAAAATAAATATTAATAAAAAATATGAAAAAATTACCAATTATTGCATTTTAAATGAATTTTGCTTCAAAAATGCTCAATTCAAAAAGAGTATAAATTAAAAAAGTGGGTACAGGTATCTGATTTTGGTATAAATTGATCATAAATGCATAAAATATTACTAAATACAACTAAAAAAGATAAATATTACCTTAATTTTGCTTTAAAAATGCTTTATGCAGAGAAAATTTAATAAAAGTGTACAAATTAAAAAGTTCGAAAATATCTGTACCGACTTTTTTAATTTATAGATTTTGGTTGAATTTTCATGGCATAGAGTACTTTTGAAACATAATTAGAATTAATATATAATCTTGAGCATATTTGAAGCAAAATTATATAAAATTTATCTTCTAAAAATAATTTTGATAGTATTTTAAATTGAAAACTTAAGACCCCCAAAACGAAATTCTTTACCATTTTTCTCAAAAACCAATCGATAAAAAATTATAAATATTAGTAAATTTATAAAGAAATATAAGTTTAACACTATCACCAATTTTCAGGGATTTTTATTCGATACTTTTTAAAATATATCCGTATAAAGACCTAAATTTTACCATTTTTGAGAATTAGAAAAGTTGTCTTTATACGGTAATATTTTTAAAACTTGACGTGTAGGAAAAATTTGGAAAACGGATTCGAACTCAGCGTCAATGTGCACCAAAATTTGTTATTATTTTCTTCTTTCTTGTCACACAATGTATTTGTTTAAAAAGATAATTGTAAATAAAATTAATTTTTTTATGAAAAAAAAAAAATTTTTGACTTTGAATTTAGTAATAAGTAATGATACATTAAGACTTAGAAAGTTTGATATTAATAATTATATTGCAGAAAGGAAGCATTTCTACCTATATTTTTTTTAGATATCATAATAATGTAAAAAAAAATATTCTATTGTTTATTAAAATACGAACTTTTGCTAAATGATAGAAATATTTATAACAAGCTTATTTATGTAAAAAATCGATTTTGCTAAAAATATCATCTTTTATACAACAAGAAAGAAACAAGCTCAGGTGGGCTCTAAATCATTTCCAAATTTAAACAATGACATTTTTGTAATAAGTAACTAAAACTAAAGTTTTCTACAAACTATTTTTTATTTTTATGATCCCTTCAATGACACTTATCAAAAACAACATATTTTGCTATTTATTAATTTTAATGGGAATTTATAATGAATAATTTATTAACCTTTACCATTTACAAAATTAGAGTTTTATAAAAATTATTTAGATGTTTAAAAAATGGATATCTTATGTTAAAAATTAAATTTCAAAATGCCATATCTAAAAAAAAAATTGCTAAGGAAATTGAAAAGGTGTAAATATATAATATTACTTGTACCTTTTGTAAAATAATAGCAAATCACATATTAATAAAGTTATTTGGATTAGAGGTTGACCCCAGCTAACTTGTGAAGTGAAGAATATTTAGGCCTGGCTTATAAAAAACAAGCTATCTAGCCCAACTCATAATAATTTTTTTATTAAGTAAAAAGGAATAAATTTGTTTAATTTTAATACAGAATTGCAAATAAAACATTATAAATAACATATTAAGAATTTTAAAAAACAAAATAATGCTTGTAAAACTTTTAAAAAAATCAAATTGTTTTTTTAATATAAATATTTTTCAGCCAATTAATTATATTATATTTAAATAAAAAATAATATTATCTATTATGATATTTTAAACAAATAATAACCACGTTATTGTATGAATGTCTAAAGAAAGATTGTTGGGTTAGTAAAAGTAATATAAGGGTTAGAAAAAAGAATTTTCTAATTAAATGAAAAATTATTTAAAAACTACACTAACCGAGGATTTAGCTTTAGAAAAACTTGGATTGGTGGGGTCTGTGGTTATTACTCGTGAATTTCTTTTTTCAAAAGTTTCCTATCAAAATAATTGTATTGTATTAATAATATATTCTTTTACAAAGTGAAAAATTGTTGGTTTTATAATTGGATTGCCATTGTTTAATGTAATTTTGGTAATATAGAAGTGAAATATATACCTTTAAATTTGTATATTCTCCATTTTCATCTGGAAATTTTGGAACAAATTTGCCACAACAAAAGTTGCAACAGCAAAAGCAACAAAAACAGCAAAAGCAACAGGTGAGTAGTCCACACACTGTCAAAAATGCCTTTATGTAATTTAAAAATATAATATTACAAATAATTTTTTAAAAGAAATATTATAATTATGCTAAAATTTATCTTATTAAAATTATTGCTTTATTTTTAAATATTATATAATTTACCTTGCAAATTTTAGATTGTAGAAAAAAATAGGCTTTGACATTATTTTCACCTAACTGTTCTGCAATTAACAAGCCCAAACCTCCATATTGATCATATAGATTTCTTTTATTTGGATCAGACAATACTGCATAAGCTCTATTGACCTGTTGAAACTTTAAAACAATTTTATTTACATAAATTTAATGTCTCACTCTTTCTGTCGCTTCAGGATTATTGAGATTTTTATCTGGATGTAGCCTTAAAGCTAACTAATATTAGATCAATATTTATTTAAATTTATTTATCATACTTTTCGATAAGCTTTTTTAATATCATCTTGATTTGAATCTTTTTGTATGCCGATTATATTGTAAAGGCTATCGCTTCTTGTGCTAAATATTTGAAAAATTATTGTTATATAAAATAAATAAAATGTATAGTAAATGGAAAATTTAAGGCTACTTACGATAATCCTAGGTGGTGAGGTTTGGTTCTGGTCATTTAATAATCTTTAGCATTTTTAAAATCATTAAATAAATCAATAAATGGATAGATATTCAAATATTTATGCCATTATGACTCATCTTGATATAATAATAATCTAATTTAACTTATGATAATCCTAGATGGTGAGGTTTGGTTCTGGTCATTTAATAATCTTTAGCATTTATAAAATCATTAAATAAATCAATAAATTGATAGATATTCAAATATTTATGCTATTATGACCAATCTGATATACTAATAATAATATAATTTATATCACAAAAGACCGCGATTCCTGTCACAGGGATGGGGGGGGGGGGGGTTAGATACTGGATTATCAGCCAAACATTAAAATGATAGAATTAGCAGCATATTTTTGTTATAAATTTGTAGGTATGTTGAAATTAATAGATAAAAAACTAAATAGTCAAATGCAGGGAAGTCACTGGCTTTTACAATCTCAAGAGCAGCGTCTACATGAGCGGGAGGGGTAAGAACAGTTTGCATCCTATTTTTTTGAGGGGATAGGGGGTAAGCTGCTTTAATGGGGGTAGGATAAATTTTTTTTGGGGGTTATCTATTAAATTTTGAGATGAAATAAGACAAAGTTTACTGCTGTAAAAATTAATACTTTTATTATAGTATTATTATAATACAATTCATCGACCAAATCTATATATTGCAAACAATCATACACATTGTTTTCCAAATAAACTATCCTTTTAAATATAATTTAAAAGGTTTAGATATTTAAACAAGCTCATAATGCCATAATCAATTCATTGTAAATAACGGAGGTTTTAATTAAATTTATTATCTAAAAAATAAATTCTTTATATTCACAAAATATCGGTAGTTGGTAGTAGAGATAGATTAATTTAACTTATCCTTTATAAATTATTTGAAAAGAGTATCAATAAATAAATAGGTGAAAATAATGATAAAGAGACATATCCGCCGAAGGTGGCGGGGATTTTTTAGGGGGGTAGGCAAAGGTTTTTGAAGGGGGTTTGCATCCAGTAAAAATCCTGTCATGTAAACGCTGCTCAAGAGGCATAAGGATGTTTTAAAAAAATATTTTCGACATTTTTTTAGCACACATTTAAAATGACCATTTTAAATAAATCTCATCTCATATTTTTTATCATGGTCCTAGGGAATCACATACACAAATAAAAGAAAATATAGACTAGCATATTTAAGCCATTAAATAAAAAGAGGAACATTGAAAAATGTTGAAATCACTTTTTAACAAATTCTTATATTGTCTCTATATATTTATATAAAGATCGGAAAATTGCAAAGACTGATAATAATATTACTATGTTTTACAATAGAGCAAGCTTACAGATTATATAACAGAGAAAATAAACTGTAAGTTGGTTGGAAATGTTATGTGAATGAGATAATATTTGGTTATCATAACCCAGATATTATTTCACTAGGAGAAAAAATGTTAGATAAAAAAACGGCAAGAAAAGTAAAAAGAAATTACTTTATTATATAAACTAAATAGAGAATATTCCCAGAGAAAAAATCATTCCCGAGAAAATTTTGAGTTATTTGGATTACCCTATATTTACTTCACTAAGTTTATTACACTTTGTATTTAATGCATAAATTGCCAATCTATTAGTATATCCACATCATTGTTCACTGAAAACAAAAATTTGAAAGAAAAATAAGTAAAAGTCAATAATTTTTTAAAAATAATAACTTTAATTAAAAATTTTAAAATGAAGCAATTTTATAAAAACAAATGATGGCCATGCCTATGCCTATACTAATGGCATATATTACCTATCTCTACTTACGCTTTATTCATTAAAATGCATTTTGCAGCTTTAACAAATCGTCGAGTGACAGGTAATTTTAATTTCTATATATTTTTTTAAATGAACATCAGATTTTTTTTTTTTAAAAGTCCTAAAATTTTAATGTTGTTTATATGGGAATGGGAGAAACAATGGTTATATTAAGTGCTAATATTTGTAGATTCATGATTACATACATAGAAGTCAGCTTTAGCACCATTTTATGGTTTGCACATAAATTAAATTATACTAATGTGCTTCAATATAATGATAAATAAACAATTTAATTAAAAAGGAATTAAATTCCAGATCAAGTCCCCCCAAAAAATTGTTTAATTAAGTCACCATTTCTTACTATGCGAATATCTAAAAAATGATTATTGCACAAATCGATTTAAAACTGGTAAAAATTGAATATACGATTTTTAAAGTTTTTAAAATGTCATCATTCTAAAATAATGAGACCAACTATATATACCCTTATTTAAAAAAATTTAATTTCAAAGAAAAATAGGCAAGGTAATTATAAGCATCCATAAGGAGGTCAAATGCAATTGGTCCACTGGTTTTCGGTTTAAAAATTGGCGAAAAATAGTTTTTGTTGGCACCAAAACCTGAATCTAAATATCCCTAAAATGGTAAAGGTATAAATCGAGTTTAAAACGGTACAAGTCGATCCAATTATAAAAATGTTATAATTGCAAAAATAAAGATAAAAATTATTTTAAAGCGGGTAAGAAGAAAAGAAGGTTCTATATCTTTTTCGTTAAAAAAATTAAAACAAAATATTTTGAAATGTTTTTTAATTTAGGCTCTAAATTTCTAACCGTGGAATATTTCAAAAAGTAGTGGTATAAATCATAAGGAAATCGGTACAAGTCGTCATATACTCAATCGACTTATATACCTTTTATTTTATATTCTAATAAATGAAAACAAAATTCATTCCCTCCAATAGATAAATCATTTATTAAGATCTAAAATGGTATGGCCAATTTCACTGACCTCAAGATAAAAACTAGTTTTATTTGTTTATTTGGTTAAATATAAATAAATTATTATAACATACAAAAAGTAATTGCCTTTTTTAGTATCAGCTGGTGGGCCATTGGGTTGAAAGAAATGGGTTACAATTTCACCTACAAATAAAATCGTTATTCATTTCACAAATATGCATAGATTTGTTTTAGTGACTTGGTTTCCTTTTTTATATGCATATTGACCTCCTAACCATGCTAATTTGATCGAAAAGGACATTATTAGCCAAAAAATATTAAGATTTTGTTTACAGGTGGCAGAAAATTTTGGTTTGGACATCTCTTAACAAAATCTCGAGACTTTCGTAATTTTATTTTGGCTATAATCTTGATTTAAAATTGGCTAAATTGAGCCAAATAACAACACTACATTTATCTTTTCTATTAATTTGAATTGCGGAAACAAATTTTTTTCCTCCTGTCACAGTGTAGTAAACGAAATAAATTTGCTAATCGACGTTATTTTTTTTTCAAATTTAAAATTTTTTAACAGCTGATTTGCATATGTGTGAAATTTTAAAATAACTGGCTAGTATAGGCCGATTGTTTTTTTAAACAACAGGCTAGAAATTTAAATTTCTTTAACAAAAGACTCGATCAAGCCGTTGCGATACGCCTGAAAAAAGACACCATGATTTTGAAAAAGGCACAATGTGACCAAAATTATAATTAAGGCCAAGAACAAAACTTGACCCTAATGTACGGGTTAGGCCGTATAATTTTTTATTTAAAATAAATCCAGGCCAGTCCTATCAATTTTTTTTATTAACCCGGGTCGGGTCAAATACTATAAAACTTGATCTGGAAACCAGGCTAAAATTAATATTTATTTATATTTAAAAAAGTGTGTTTATTTTGTTCTTTCTTAATTTTAAAAAGGAACGTAAAAGTTATTTATTAATTAAATTATTTTCGGTATTTTACTCTTTTTCCAAAGTTAGTAACGATTGGGTTTATTTCTTTCCCCTCAAAAAAGTTATTTTAGCGACGTCACTTTATAGCACTGTTTAATTTACATTGCCTTTTTTGAAAAATTTTAATTTGAGCCTATTAAACATCCTTTTCAACTTTTCTATGTAAACACTTGACAATGTTTGTCGCGAGTAGCCTTATTTCCCAAAATTATCAGAAAAGGAAACACGTAACATTTCGTTATCATGAAACAGTATGCAATCATTTCAAAATCGGATTTGCAATCGAAGCCCGTTTTCCAATAAGAGATTTTAGCGAACACGAAAATTACCCATGGGATTGAAAATATAAAGGTAAGGGCACTGAGTATACCGGATGTTATTATAAAGTTTGTCAACCTATAAGACTTTAATTTTTTGAGGTATTTTAAAGTGTCTAGATCGGGGGCGATATAATTAGACCTATTCTCCGTAATAGTCAAAATAGAGGGGTTGTTAAATCCAGATTCGATTTGGAAATTAATGTTAGCCGTTTGGTAGAATGGGTGTACTAAAAAAATTTTGAGCCAATTAGTACTCCTCAAATTATCATTAGAAATAGGACTTACCTGATTTATTTGGGTGCGCATTGATCTAATTTTAATTTCTCTATATCTTTTGTAAATCTGAATCATGGTGTACCACGTTAAACCATTGAAAATTAATATGAACGTGTACGGAATTACAAAAGTAAACACAACAACCAGCGGATTATAAATTTTGTAAAATGTTTCGCGATTAACATTATATAGTGACTTAAAAGGATTGTGTACTCCTTTGCCTGTTATAACATCTGGTAAAACTGGTAAAATTTTATTTTCAATGAAAAGTGGAAGGGTCAAAATTAGGTTAAATATAACTATCGATGATAAGGTGATTTCTACTATGGAACCCTTTTTATTTAAATAATTTCTATAAAATATCGGATATTTGATAGCTATTAAGGTATCCATATTCATAATCATTAATATAAAGTTAGAGATACCAAATAATGATTGCTCAAATATGGATTCGAGTTTAGTCAACCATATTATAATTAACCATCTATTTTCTTCTTTGAGACATCTCCCTGGATATTTAAGTAAAGTAGTAAGGCCAAAATAAAAAAATCAGGCAAAGTATCAGAGATATTATGCATATCCATGTCAAATAATATCGGCTTTCTTTTTTATAAGATTCACGTAGTGAAAGGATATTCAGCTTTTTTGAATTTAGACTATATATCAAGATTGTATTCCCAATCAACCCAACTCGAGTTCCTAAGAGCATAAACAAAGGGTATAGAAAGTTACCGGTATTTGATATAGGTAGAT